ACAACTGAGTCAATCACAACCATGGAACAAACTACGGCTGAAACAAATTCACAAACTGACGTCATTACCACTGCTCTACTCACGACTAAAGATAGTACAACTAAGCTAATCACAACTATAGAAGAAACTACTGCTGAAACAAGTACACAAACTGACGTCACTACCACTGCTGAATACACGACTGAAGATAGTACAACTAAGCTAATCACAACTATAGAAGAAACTACTGCTGAAACAAGTACACAAACTGACGTCACTACCATTGCTGAATACACGACTGAAGACAGTACAACTGAATCAATCACGACCATAGAAGAAACTACTGCTGAAACAAGTACACAAATTGACGTCATTACCACTGCTGTACCCACAACTGACGATAGTACAACTGAGCCAATCACGACCATAGAAGAAACTACTGCTGAAACAAGTACACAAACTGACGTCTCTACCACTGCTGAATCCACGACTGAAGATATTACAACTGAGCCAATCACAACTATGGAAGAAACTACTTCTGAAACAAGTACAGTACCTGACGTCACTACCATTGCTGAATACACGACTAAAGATAGTACAACTAAGCTAATCACAACTATGGAAGAAACTACTGCTGAAACAAGTACAGTACCTGACGTCACTACCATTGCTGAATACACGACTAAAGATAGTACAGCTGAGCCAATCACAACAATAGAAGAAACTACAGCTGAAACAAGTACAAAAACTGACGAAACTACCACTGCTGAATACACGACTGAAGATATTACAACTGAGCCAATCACAACTATGGAAGAAGCTACTTCTGAAACAAGAACACAAACTGACGTCACTACCACTGCTGAATACACAACTGAAGATAGTACAACAGAGCAAATCACAACAATAGAAAAAACCACTGCTGAAACAAGTACACAAACTGACGTCAATACCACTGCTGAATACACAACTGAAGATATTACAACTGAGCCAATCACAACTATGGAAGAAACTACTGCTGTAACAAGTACACTAACGGATGTCACTACTACTGCTGAATACACGACTGAAGATAGTACAACTGAGCCAATCACAACTATGGAAGAAACTACTGCTGAAACAAGTACACAAACTGACGTCACTACATTGCTGATACACGACTGAATATAGTACAACAGAGCAAATCACAACAATAGAAAAAAACACTGCTGAATCAAGTACACTAACTGACGTCACTACCAATGCTGAGTACACGACTGAAGATAGTACAATTATGGATGAAACTACTGCTGAAACAAGTACACAAACTGACGTCACTACCATTGGTGAATACACGACTGAAGATATTACAACTGAGCCAATCACAACTATGGAAGAAACTACTTCTGAAACAAGTACACAAACTGACGTCACTACCACCGTTGTACTCACGACTGAAGATAGTAGAACTAAGCTAATCACAACTATGGAAGAAACTACTGCTGAAACAAGTACACAAACTGACGTCACTACCACTGCTGAATACATGACTGAAGATAGTACAACTGAGATAATCACAACTATGGATGACACTACTGCTGAAACAAGTACACAAACTGACGTCACTACCACTGCTGAATACACGACTGAAGATAGTACAACTGAGCTAATCACAACTATGGATGACACTACTGCTGAAACAAGTACACAAACTGACGTCACTACCACTGCTGAATACACGACTGAAGATAGTACAACTGAGTCAATCACTACTATGGAAGAAACTACTGCTGAAACAAGTACACAAACTGACGTCACTACCACTGCTGAATACACGACTGAAGATAGTACAACTGAGTCAATCACTACTATGAAAGAAACTACTGCTGAAACAAGTACACAAACT